TCCCAATACCCGCGATGAAGAAAAAGGGTGCAGAGGACGTGGACACAACCGTTTACTTCAGAGCTCAACCTCGTTGGTGTTGTTGTGTCGTACGTGGGGTTTGCGTGTGTGTATTTGTACCTGGGATGTGTGAGTCATACATGCGCTAACATCGAGACCTATTTGTGAGGATAATCCAAGATAAATATCCGTGTGAATGAGGGGGGAGTTGAGGATCTGCGCGGCTGGCGACATGCTGCGAGCAGGGGAGCCCTGTGTCGGAGGTGGAGCAATCGGATTAAGGGGTGTTAATACATACTTTTCACAGCAATATCATGCGCAACAACAATAAGATTATTTACAAATATCAAAAAAAGTGACAAACTTTGTGCACTCTCACAATTTTGCTGCAGCTAAATCTGCACAGCATCACTGAAGATGTGATGGCTCGTAAATCACACAAAAACAGGTTGCGTGGGTTCCAGATCAAGCTACAATGAAAGCATCTACTCGGTTGATCATGTCTACACGATCCCAACTAAAAAGGTCGTCAGAGTTCGATCTTGGTAAACCAAGACGCGTCTGTCAGTGGATTCATGTTGACCTTTAGGTCCACCAGGCCAATCGGCAATTGAGGCAGCCCACCATGGACAGAAACTGTATTATTTACTTCGTTACTCTATAAGAAATTCCGTCTCTGTGACTACAAGCACTTGACATTGGCCCTACTGGAGAATTTGAGCCGTCTTGCACGTGACGTCTTATATGAAGCGGATTAAACAATTTTTTGCAGAAATCGAGCATACATTGACATCATGCCTTAAGTAGCCGTGTGTCTTTTAGTGCCAACTGATCACCGTGAGTGGTTACCATCTGCTACTCTTTAGTATTCCCCGGCCCTCCACGTTTATTGGGCGACTCATCCACAGTGATGTCTGTTTTTTGGGAGATTTTGATACAGCGCACACGCGCAGGCATTGGTTTGTTGTGCACGCTTGACGGCTCGATATTATTGATCATTCACCGCCTGTCAAGCTGTTTCTGTATTCAGTTGCTGGAACACATGAGCGGGCTGCTGCTTGACCGACTTAAGGTCTGGGATCTTGGCTCTGGGCCCGAGGAGTACGCCGCCATGACGCTGCACTTTTTGCTTATCTGGGCATCTCGCGGAAACTTTGCAACTAACGGTTCAGCTCCTCAGGCCTGTGCGCGACTCCACGACGCCATTTGCGTCTTCAGTCCTGACGTCAATGTTGATCGCGTAAGCCTATTGATACTGCTCTTGTCGTCTGTCCCCTGGCCTTCGGTAGTGTTTCATCGCATGTGCGGACCTGATTCCGCCACGCACTCAAATCTTTTCCAAACTCTGGGGTTTTGGATAAAGATCTCATCCCCATCAATTAAGCTCCAGCAGCCTTTTAGCATAAATGGCAACTTTGCGTTTCTTCAGGGACTGTGCTGGGATCACCGTGTTTGGCTAATGAGCATATTAAATGTCCTCAGACCCCATGGAGGTCATTAACCGCTCACATCAATTTTAGCTTTCTCTTTTTGTACAAGGCACTCTCGAATGCGCACATATTGTTCGCCCATTCTAGGCCACTGTTTGTTTCTGTATTAGCGTTTGGTGAGGTTAATTAAATCGCCAAGATTTCTTCATGTCATTTAGCTTTTTCTAACTAGCACTGTACATTCAATGCTTAGACAGATAAAATAGCTTTTGCTTTATTTTCCTTCATAAAGTGTGTATTGCAATTTCAGAACAGTTATATATCTTTTAGCGCAGTTTGTGCATTTAAGAGAGTTCTTTCAACGGAATCAGTTTCGCTTATCAATCAGTCCCCCTGGTGTAATTATCCTCCGATATTTTTTCCAGATCGTATTCCTCACCTTCCGAATTGGCTCCTTGATTCAGGAGTCTTTTGTGGAACCTACTAGTTCAGCCAGTGAGGAGACAGCGCCGCAGCATACTCGCGAACAAAGCCATCCGGTCGTTAAGTTTGAAGCCTATCCCGAAGATGCCGAGGTTCCAGAAAACGCAAACATCCACAACGCGGAATCCTACCTTTTCCATGCTTCGCTGCTCAAGTCATTGTTGGACAAATATTATTGTGAGCTGCAAATCGGACAATTGGCTCCCCACCTCCCCCTCAAATCTGCCAACTTTATCGCCGAGTTTCGAGTGTACTTTGTGGAACATGCCGATGAGTGGCGAGTTTTCCTAAGCAGGGTGAGTAGCGTACATGATATTTAAGCGATTATTTGGTGCCGAAATTCGGTTCCTTTCCACATAATCTTCAAATCGACGGTTTAGATGTAAAAACTTTAAGCCTCCACTACTTCCAACCACGATTTCAGCTCGACTTTCCATTTTCCGCTTCTCATTCAACCCATTTTTATGCACCAAAAACCCATTTTTGTTAACGTAATTCCTAGGCCGAAATCGTCTTTGTGTGTAGTCGTAATTCGTCATTTTAAACAAGCCTCAATTTACTTTATCCGAGAATTTGTAAACTCTTCTTTAGTTTCAAGGCGCTATGGAGGACTACACGCGCGACTACATAGTCAACCCATTTACGGAGCAAAGTCTGTTACGTGCTTTGGCCAATGAGTGCCTCATTAAGGCACGCCGTGAGCGTTCTCAGCACATCCTTGCTGCTACGCAACGCCTTGCCGAGCATCACCCAAATTTCGTCCCTCTTGGTCAACCAGCCCGTGTGTTAAATGAAAGTGACCGGAGTATCCCAAACAGTCGGACGGGTTTGAATCTGGCGAGCACACAGCTTGTCACCACCAATTCCTCCGGAGGCTCGCGAACGCAACTCCCAACCCCCCAAGTCCGTCGTGGCTCCCTCGCCTCCCGCTCGTTGGCTTCGTCAGCTCAATTGTTTTTCCAACTTGAGGAGAATGTGCGGAATCGAAAATCCCAGACTGGGATCTGCGATGCTTTCGACCCGCAAAAAATGGAGAAACAGGCGCTGGCGCTGGCCAGTATTAGGCGCAAACGGTGGCTAAATTTGCGCTTCGAATTCGTGCGGGCATCACCTACAGCCCTGTGGTTTTCACCGTAAATCAGTCTTTTATCTGTGTCTCTTTGATGATGGCTGTAATCTGTTACAATCAGACCGCTTATTTTAGTCCATGTCGTTAGCCCTTCAACGATAGTGTTTTTTTAAGGTGGAGATAAAAACAATTGACCTTTAAACCAACAAGTGTTAACCATCGTACCGCTAATATAAAAAAACAATAGGCGATGCCTATTGCCATCTAACCGAACGTCTAAGATTTCATATCCCCAAGGTCTTTAGTTCGACAACTAATTGAGTTATTTGTAAGTCCTATGTTTGGAAAACACATCCAAATAAGCCCATTGAACACTGACGGTAGAGTAACAGCGGTGCAGCACTAATAGTTTGTTTATTAACCTTTTTATTAAATTTGTTCAAAGCCAGTGTGCTTTATGCTCGTATTCCAGGTTCCCAGTGGAACTGCACTGGCGCTTATCAGATCTCGAAACGGCGCTTCGGGTACGGGGCAAATTGGAGCCCGACCCCTGGTTCTCAACTCACGCCGGAGCGAGTGATGAACGCGACGGCTTTGTACGTCAGATTTCTAGACTGGAAGACGGTGGAAATATACTCCGCAAATTGAGTTGTGCCACCGGCGATCAGCAACTCTGTCACCTCCTTCAACAGGCGAAAACTGTGCTTGGAGAAGGGAAGACGGATGCGGACACCCTTGCCGCTGGAGACGTTCCAGATGCCTCCGTGGTGAAATGCCTTCATCAGAGCCTTTCTAAAAGCTGTGAACTGCTTGCGCTGTCGATGGATGGAACTGAGGTCCTTCGACAGAGAATACGCAAGGGATCGTTAGTTGGCTACATGGATGTCAATGGAGATTTTGTAGCGGATGAGGATTGGAAGAATATCAAACAGGACGGCTCGGACAAATCTTTTGATGAGTAATTTGCGCATTAAGAAAGTATTGTTTTTCTTCAGCTACTGAAGTGGTCGAAACAAATCTGAAAGAATTTCAAAATCTCAGCCCGTGGCTTTAGCTTAGAGCTTCGTGTATTTGTACCGAGCACTGGCTTCTCAACTTTAATACATTTAAACTTCATCCACAGCACTTTAAGACGATGTAAACCCAATATTTTGATAGTTGGTTGAGCCTGTCAAATGTCTTTAATCGGTTAGCAAAAGCCTACAGAATTCCAGGTCATTATTGGTTCGTGAATTTTGTCGCAAACCACAATTTTGGATTCTCAACACACAATCATTTATGTTTGTCTGTAGCCCTTCTAAGCCAATTGCTCCCTCAGATTTTTCTTCATTTAAATTACGTGTTGAGTAATTTATAGGTTGTCTGTAGTAGTTCATTTTTATCTGGAATTGAACTTTTGAAGCTAACTCTTCCCCCCGCATTGGATCCTTCTATTCGTGGCAACCGAAATCGCCGGTAATCAAGAACCCATTAGTCAGGCGAATCTGGGTTGCTGTGTTAGCTGGCAACACAATCACTGTTGTCCGCACGAGGTAATGAAGAGGTCTGTGAAGTTTCCGTGAAGGAGTAACAGGAAGTTCTAATGATGTCGACCTGAACCAGATATTTTCTATTCGTTTCAGCAATGGGCAGTATCCTATCTTAGTGATAATTGAGCGTGTCATCCGCAATTGCGTATTCGGGGCTTTCGAGAATAAGCCAATTTGGCGAAACGCGTCTATTAGTAATTATTCCAATTTGTTTAGGTCATTTGAACCAAAAATATAATTAAAATATCGGCTCATTTGAGTCTTGAAAAGCTTTGTGACACAAACTATTGTCGATATTGAGGTCTAAAGGCCCTAAACGAATGTGGTATGATTGCTTTTTGACTTTAGGAATAAATCAAGTTCTACCATGGACTTATCGAAGTCCTCAAAAGGCACTGAACAGTTGGTATTCGTGGAGACAGGAGAGTGCAGGGTGCTTGAGAAGACTTCTGAGTCCGGGCCTTCGGAGGCCGCTGAAAGCGAGGAAGCAGAAAAGACGGACGAGGCAGGAGAAGAGGAGGAGGAGGAGGAGGGGCCAACGGTGCTCCCTGCGCCTCGCTTCTTTGAAGAACCCTCGCCACTTAAAGGCGAGGAACTGCGTGCGCCTTGTCAGCTCGTCTCCTACCTGCGAATCGTAGCTGGCTGGTTAGCTGTCACGCCAAATTCGATTCACTTTCTGCAAAATCATGCTGAGGAAATCATCTGTGATATTGACTTTTCCAGTAGCGGTGAGTAAAATGCAGTCACGGGGCATTGTGGTTAGCGAATCGTTCCTGTGGATTCTTGATAAAGAAGGAACTCCTTTATTACGGAAAGGATTTAACGAGGTTCAAAGTTCTAATGTATGTGTACTCACACCCGGCCAATTTTTCTGACTTAGATTTATTACCTGCTGATAAGTGCTATTTTTCGTGCTGCTGTCAATTAGATATACGTTAATTCATGAACCATCGATGTGGTTCTTATTTGTAACCGCTTAAGTCGACATCACAATTAGCGGCTTCTCGTGTTGCAATCATTCTCTGTTCCTATACTAACATGGCCTTATTTGATATATTTGATTCCTTCTAATTAAACAGTGTTGGTTAAAGTGCTTAGTGCTTAGTCCTTTCGCCAAGAGGCCGACAAATTCTCTTGCCAACAACCGTTTTTTTCCTCATGTGTAAATTTAGACCAGCTCAGAGCAAGTGAAGCGACAAGAGACTTCTCGATTGTGCTAAACATGGGCGACATTCGAGAAGTCCATCTGTGCCGCTACAATTTACAACGTTCAGCGATCGAAATATTCCTTGTTGACCACCAGAGCTACTTTTTCAATTTCCCAGCTGACGTAAGTCCACCTACTTAGATGACAACTATGTTGCCAAAAATTCTACTGACAATTTGGAGTAATATGTGTATTCTAAGAAGTCTCATTTTTCAAATCTGTACTTTACTTGATCCGCCACGCCGAAATTTTTACTATTGCTAAATTCCAGAGCAGGTTTTTTATCATTGCAGCAGGTAGAGGGATTGACATCAATGCTTTCTGCTCCTTAGTCGTCACTATTAATTGGCTCAACTCAGCGTCTGCTGCGCACGCACATTGGCAGATTATCTTTTTTTGAAAAAAAAAACTCAATTTCACTTTTAGCATCGAAACAAGGTGTACACCTGCATCATGAGTCATCGGATGCCACAGCTGATCTACCGAAAGGGCCGTAGCCCAGCAGAGGTGTTCAAATTCTCCCGATTAATGGAGGTATGTCTGCTGCACCGTTGTAGTTTGCAGTTCTTTCCGAAGGTGTTGGCTGCGCGGATTCCCTGATGACCTCTTTGCCGAGGTCGATGCCGGTCTTTTGGAGTGGAGTTCGTTCTTTAAAGTGTTAAAGTGCTCTGCGATTTATCGTTGGTTCTTTAGCACAATAAAACTGCCTTGGCGTCTACTATCCCTCCGCTGACATCAAAGTAAAAGTAAATTTCGACCTGGGCTAAAACCCCGTGATCAGACAGCATGTGTTGGCCCATGCCTTGCAGTGAAATGGACGCGATGCTATGATTTTGAGCTATTTTCTCAGTTAAACACTTGGTGGATGATAGCTGCGATAAACAGTTGCTAAGTTAATCAGTAGTATTTAATAATAGTTTTAAAGGTTTTAGTCATCTTTATGCTGTTCTCGACAATTTATCGTGGATTGCACTGACAGTTTCCTTGTGCTATTTTTCTTTTACCACGAACTGGAGAATGGTGGGTAAATTCTTCCATGTCTGAAAATGTTTTATTTAGTCTGGCAGTCTTGGATGATTAGGCCTACTTTTTAAAGCTGTCTGAGTGGAAATATTAGTTGTGGAGCTAAGCTTGCTTTTATGTTAACCCGTGGAGCTGCATTAAGGCCAAACGTCAGTACCCTAGTGGCTGACTAATTTTTATTCCCTCTTGCTGGATCCTCCACAGAATGGTGTTTCTTTTTAACTGTTTACTTTGAAGTGAGCAAAATGAAGGTGAAATCCTGTTTACCAGTATAGACGTGACTTGATGAGCTGAAATGTTGCACACTCTAACTCTTGATTTTTCTCAAAACCGAATCGATCTAGATAGCAGAAAATCTAAAATCTGCGCTTGAGAGATGCTGTTATCGATCTAGGCGAATCCAACCGCTGATTGCATATAAGCTTCGGTTATCTTAGCATTCTATTAGCATAACTTGGACTTCCAAAACAGTTGTGGCCACTGCTCATTGCGAAATGCTCTTGCTCATCTATTGCGTCTAAATCCTAATGCGTAACCCCGTGTCATTTTAAACTGGATAGCAACTGAAACACTCAGAGATAAGGAGAACGATTCTCTAGTCCAATCGGTTTACTCAGCATCACCTCGACGTCGAAATATCATACGGGAGAGCAAAACGCATCCCAGCATAACTAATTGTGTCTAGACAGGAGATCGTCACAAGCGCAAAGCTCCGTGCGCCTTAATCGTTTTTACCCCCCTCCCCCTGTGATGAAAAATGGATCTTCCTTCTCGAAATATCCTCACATGCACACACAATAGGGCAGCCTCTACAAATTCCACCTTTGTGCTTATAACCTTTAGCATCCACGCTCACCTTGTCGCACTTGTTTCCCTCCAACGGAAAAATAGACTTCTATATTTTATCCCTTCAATGCAGACACACACACACAGAGAGAGGGGTGGGAATCATTAATCACCCCATGCATTCCTCCGCCACTGGGTTTCTTGTGTTTCATCCCAATATCGCGCGTGATCTCTTTGTATATATTGTTTCATAATTAATCGTTGCGACATTAACACGGGGTGGATACTTGCACCGAAGTAGGTTGAGTTATGTACCTCCGGGGCTGTGGGTATTTCGGAGACAAAATGAACAACTCCATTAGATTTATGGTGTACACAGAAAAGAAATGCATAGAATCAAATTGTTGGACTGCATCTGTATTCCTCTATGACAGTGAATTGAGCCAACGATTGCATTGTTAGCTTAGTGGAATTGCAGCAAATGACAAATAGATGGATAAATCCGATGAAGCTGCAATAAGGCCTTCTGACCCCAGCTACCAGATGCTTTTGAGAGTGGATATTCTGGGGACGTTTACAATTAGTGGGTTTACATTCACCTAATCATGTAGTGTCTGCTGTTGTCCCGATTTAAAGTCACAGAATATACTCTTCAGTTTAATGTTTCCTGTAAAGGGATACCAAAGCAGGTACCATAAGGAGAGTTGTTGTAAATTTGGGTAAGGATCCAGGTTGAGAAATCCCAATAGAGGGCAGTGGGGGTTTCAGTTATCGGACAAGGAGTCTGAATTCAGAACAGGATGCAAGGGGCTGACCTTATCAAAGGGTGTTCTCTCCACATTGACATTGTGGGTCAAGTCAGTAATATGCACTATTGTGATTTACTACTCGGAATATGTGGTGCATTTTACTCACCTCCCCTTTTATGTGAGATTGTGTCAATTTCTACTCCGTTCTTTCTATTCTAGCTTTGGGCCAACCGCGAAATATCAAACTTTGAGTATCTGATGCGTCTCAACACCATCGCTGGTCGAACCAACAATGATCTAAGCCAGTACCCAGTGGTGAGTCAATTTTCTGTCAGTAGCTCCTCTCTATGTTTTGTTGAATTCAATGCCTTCCGAATCATTATCGACATAGTTTACGGTAGCTTCGAGTCCGCTCTAATCATGGTGTGCTTTGAGGCTTGGGAAGGGAAGCAAGAGGGGGTAGGCCGAAACCCAAAGTATGGGGTGGAAACCAGGCTTCAATCACGTGACTCAAACCTCCAAACTTCCCTCGGACCTGCTAAGCACCTCACGGTTAATGCTTGTTAGCCCCGATTCCCCTAGATTAGCTGCGCATTTCCACCTGCGTGACATACACTGTCGTGCTGTTGGGGAATGACTGGGATTGTTGTTCTTCACCAAACCCGGCCTAACTCAGTGGTAATTCGGGTGTTTGGGCTGGATTATACCACTAATGGCAATTCACCAAAGTTGCAAGTGTCCTGTCTCATTAGTTGAGCCGAGGGCCTATTCAATTTCGGTCATATTTATGTTTGTCTGTCTGGGGTAATGGTGAAAGTTTATAATTTTGCGCATTTTCAACGTCCTACTGGAAACTTGGTAGTTAGATGTTGACACTTCTCTTCACTCTGAATCCCGGCGTTTCGTTTACCAGTTTTTCGTGACTTTAGAGGGTTCGCGTGGAAACCCCGGGAAATTTGTGTCAAACACGGTTATGTTTATTTCCCATCTCTTGATTGAAAACCTTAATGTTTATGACTTACCGTCTGGTATGGCTGTACTTGTAGCCCTTAGTAAGGTTAGTGGGGTGCGAGTGGAGACCTGGCTGTAAGACAAATGGTAAATCCCTGATGCATGCGTTGTTTTCATTAGGGCGTGATATTTCCCTTATGAGATTTTGCATTCCCGCCGTTCACAGGATGCAGGGCATTTCATTTTTGCCCTGCTGTTGCGTATATATATATATATATATATATATATATATATATATATATCGACTC